CTTCTCTGTCATAGCACTTTACTCATAGTTTTACTGCACTAATTATTAAAATAATTTATATTTGGTTATATTTCATGCCTCTCATTGTTTTGTGAGTTCTGCCAGAGCAGTAAATGAGTTTTGTTCATCTCTGTAACTCCTAGTCACTAGCATAGGACCTGGCATATACTAAGACTCAGTAAAAATTTGGTTTAGCGAAAAGGAATGAGAGAATAAGCAAACATAAAAATCTAATTCTAGATAAAATATTATGATAACACATTAGAAAGGAGTAATTACTTCTAGTGAGGCAGCCTCACAGACAAGGTAACATTTGAGATGATGCCTGAAAACTGAGTAGAATTTGACAGGTGGAGATGGGTGTTGGAGGAATGGAGGGAAATGAAAAGGCATAATTCCTTAAGAATTTAAGAACTGAATTTATCATAGCAAAATAATGCTGTAAATTACACATGGCTCTTATCTAAACCATCTGGTTCATGTAAACAACCTTAGCAGGAACTCTACTTGCTAACATTTTAACAGGTACTTTGAATTAATATATATTTTGAAAATAGCAATACTGTGCTGTCCTTTAAAAAAGCTGATAATTTCGATAATTCTCTCTCCTTCCCAAAAATTAGTCCAGAGTTTGGCTAGGTTGTTACATTGTAAATTATCTTCCTTTGATCTCAGAATGCTTTATTAAAAATAATTCCTGATTCTCTTGTTTCCCAGGACTGCAGAGCCAATGAGTAGCCAAACTGTTGCAAGAAATTAGTTTTGGCATGGAGGTCCAGTCCTTCTAAACCTAGATGTTTCATGTTGGAGTCATCCTCCAGCCACTAGAGAAAACCAGAGTGCAGATTTAGTAATCTCTAAAGGTCCCTTCCACTTATAACATCCCCTAAAACTTGTCTCCCATGAACTGAAGACTGGGAGTTCAGATGAACCAAATAATCAATATGTAAACTCTTGACTCAAAGCATATTTGATGCCCCATGTTTGTTTTCTTAACTATATTTACAAGGAGGCTATTTCTAGCCACACTATGCCTTCATGGGAGACCACTGAAAACTGGGTATGAGGACTAGAGTTTCTGGCGATAGAGAAATCACCAGTTCTGAAATGTGACTTCTGACTATCGTAACAAATGCTAAGGCCATCAATTCACTCTATGTGTATGTGGAGGAGGGGTGGATTATGGAGAAGTGGCATAGGAAACATAGAAGAATCATAAAAACTAATGATTCAGAAATAATGTTTTTGAGCATTTGCATTTCTTGTTCTGACCAATCAGTGACCAAAATAGCACTTGTATAAATAACCAGGGCAAGGATCATCCCTGATATTTCCAGGTTAGAAGGATGTGATAGATGTTAGCAAGCTACTATTAGAACAGAGTTGCCTTCCAGAGTGTAATCGGCGGGAGTGCATACTGAGAGGTAGGAGAAAAGCCATGGAAAGATTTTTCTATGGAAATCAGTAGTCAGAGGAAAATTTCCAAAAATATGTCTTTCTGTGCTCCCAACTATGCAGTATATACACGCACATGCATGCATAACCCACTTCAATGTCTGCTTATGTCATCATTGCTCCTGGAAAGTCTTTTTCTTTTTTCTTCTTTACCTATCCAATAATTACCCATCACTCAAGACATTTTCTGTAAAAATCTGGCCAATCTGTTCAAATCCTATCTTCTCCGTGAAGTTTTTCCCACCTACTCAAGCCACATTTTCATTCCTTAAATTTCAGTAAAATTGCCAGTCAATTCCATTCAGTTCTTTGATTGTTTCTTAATTGTTTTATTGGAGATAGTAAAGCCTTGTGACTAAAAGTATATATCCTGCATGACCTTGAACAATATATGTGACCTTTAAAAGCCATTCATCTAATAAATGGAGATATAAATAGTCCCTCTCACAAGGTTATGTTGAAAGTTAAATGAAAATAGTATGTGCCAAGTGCTTTACTTAGGATGTGGTTAAGTGTTCAATAATTAGTGGTAGTAATGGATGGAGTAGTGATAATAGTAATAATCATTGCCACCATCATTGGCCTCTTCAATTAGATTGTATAACCTTTGAAGGCAAGGACTACATATCCTATCTGCTTATTCTCTGGTGTCCCCCTAATTCCCAAAATACTCAATTGGCTACTTTGATATCTGCTGATTATATGTCCATCCCTATAATGTTAACTGCCTCAAAGAAATGAAATTGCATCAAAAATAGAATTTTTGATTTTTTTATTCTACCATGCAAGCCTTTGGATGGTTTTCTGAGTTTTCATGCATGAATAGTTTGGAGGGAAGCTGGTGAGTAATCATATGCAACTAGACTATGAGAAGAATAGGAAACCGCTTAGTCATCCCAAGTTTCTGTGGTATATACGCTTGGAAAAAAAAAAAAAACAGAAAACTACAAAACTCTGATGAGTGAAATCAAAGAAGAACTAAATAAATGGAGAGATATTTCATGTCCATGGATAGGAAGACTCAATATTGTCAAGATGTCAGTTCTTCTCAACTTGATTTAATGAATTCCCAATCAAAATCCAAGCAAGTTATTTTGTAGTTATCAACAAATAGATTCTAAAGTTTATATGGAGAGGCAAAAGATTCAGAATACCCAAAACAATGTTGAAGAAGAACAAAGTTGGAAGACTGATGCTACTCAACTTCAAGATTTACTATAAATCTATAGCAATCAATGCAGTGTGATATTGGTGAAATATAGACAAATAGATCAGTGGAGCAGAGTAGAGAACCCAGAAGTAGACCCCACAAATAGAGTTAACTGATCTTTGACAAAGGAGTACATGTAATACAACTGAGCAAAGACAGTCTCTTCAACTGGAACAGCTGGAGATCCACATGCAAAAAAAAAAAAAAGATCTTATACCCATCACAAAACTTAACTCAGAATGGATCATATACCTAATGTGATATACAAAACTATTGAAGTCCTAGCAAATAAGATGAGAGAAAACCTAAAGGACCTTGGATATGGTGATGACCTTTTTTTTAATATTTATTTCTTTTTGAGAGAGAGAGGCAGAGAGGGAGAAGGAATTCAAAGCAAGCTCTGCACTGACAGCAGAGAGCCCAATGTGGGGCTTGAACCCATGAACTGTGAGATCTTGACCTGAGCCAAAGTCAGATGCTTAACTGACTGGCACCCAGGCATCCCAGCAATGACTTTTTAATACACCAAAGACATGATCCATGAAAGAAATTATTGATAAGCTGGACTTCATTAAGATTAAAATCTTGTGTTCTGCAAAAGACAGTGTAAAGATAATGAGAATATAAGCCACAAACTGGAGAAAATATTTGGAAAAGACACATCTGGTAAAGGACTGTTATCTAAAATATACAAAGAACTCTTAAAACACAATAAGAAAACAAACAACCCAGTTTAAAAAATGGGTCAAAAACTCACTAAGAACATATACAGATGGCAAATAAATATATTAAAAGATGTTCCATATTGGAATACTACATGGCAATGAGAAAGAATGAAATCTGGCCATGTGTAGCAACATGGATGGACCTTGAGGGTGTTATGCTGAGCGAAATAAGTCAGGCAGAGAAGGACAGATACCATATGTTTGCACATATAGGAGAATTAGGAGGAACTTAACAGAGGACCATGGGGGAGAAGAAGGGGAAAGATAGTGGGGGAGAGGGAGGGAGGCAAACCATGAGAGACTCTTGAATGCCAAGAACAAACTGAGGGCTGATGGGGGTGGGGGGGAGGGCAAGGGGGTCACTTGTTGGGATGAGCACTGGGTGTTATATGGAAACCAACTTGACAATAAACTATTAAAAAAAAAAAAGATGTTCCACATTATGTAACAGGAAAATGCAAATTAAAACAGCAAAGAAATACCACTACACACCTATTAGAATGGTCAGAATCCAGAGCACTGAAAACACTAAATACTAGTGATGATGTGGAGCAACAGGAACTCTCATTCACTGCCAGTGGGAATGTAAAATGGTTTGGCCACTTTAGAAAATAGGTTGATAGTTTCTTACAAAAGTAAATATGCTCTTACTATACAATTCAGTGATTGTGCTGCTTGGCATTTACCCAAAGGAGTTGAAAACTTATGTTCACACAAAACTGTGCACAATGAAGTTTATAGCAGTTTTATTCATAATTGTCAAAACTTGGAAACAATACAATGTTCTTCAGTAGGTGAATGGATAAATAAACTGTGGTAAATCCATATAATGGAATATTATGCAGCACTAAAAGGAAATGAGCTATCCGACCATGAGAACATGGAGGAAACATAAATGCATACTACTGAGAAAAACCAATCTGAAAAGGCTGTGTGTTGTATGATTCCAACTATGTGACATAGAAAAGGCAAAACTATGGAGATGGAATAAGATCAGTAATTGCCAGAGGTTGGGGTATAGGAAGGGATGATATAAGCAGAACACAGAGAATTTTTAGGGCAGTGAAAATATTCTGTATGATACCACAATGATGTATACATGTTATTATACATTTTTCCAAACCCATAGAATGTACAACACCAAGAGTGAACCCTAATATAAACTATGGCTTTTGGGTGATTATGATGCATCACTGTAACAAATGTACCACTCTGTTGGGGGATGTTGATAATGGGGGAGGCTATGCATGTGTGAGGGTAGAGGGTATAAATGAAATCTCTGTACCTTCTCTGTAATTTTGCTGTGAACATAAAACTTCTCTAAAAAAATAAAGGCTTCATAAAAAAACAAGAGGAAAGAAAGGAACAGAGGGAGCAGAAAGAGAACAAAAGAAACACTAACATACCATCTGGTAAACTTCTTTCAAATTCAATGACTTCCTTCCAGTTCAGGCTGTAGTGTTTTAACCCTTGTAAAGAGCTGGAATTAAGGCCCTATCTACTACTTGTCCATCAGTCCATTTTTGTAAAGAGTTTTCCAGTTTATCTTAAGCAAACTACATACTGAAACCTTAATACAACAAATTATCTTGTTTGTCATTTCTTTTTAGCTGATAGTAATAGAACTCTGAATGTGGATTCCACTGTAATGACACTACCTATGTCTGATCCAACTGCATGGGCCACAGCAATGAATAATCTTGGAATGGCACCACTGGGAATTGCTGGACAACCAATTTTGCCTGGTATGCTATTTTTAATCATGTCACAAGTGTTTCTTTTTATTGACCATGTGGTAATAAATATAACAGTATGACACAACTTATTTTGAAGTTGACATTTACCAGATTCTGCCTAGAGTGTGCATTTTTGTAATATGAGCTTTATAGGCAGGGTTGCCAGTAGTTACTAGTATACTCCCTATTGCACTATGGGCTAGGGATATGTCTGATGCAGGATATGGGCATTGATATTTAAATAGCTTGTTGAAATAAAAGGCAACAAGATTAGGCAAGGAATTATAAAGTTTATCTAATTTTATAGATTTAGAGGAGACAAATAGACATGGAGTAGAAATGAGAATTGACTTAGACACCTGAAAAATCTTAGATTCCTAAAGTGGGGAAAAGGAGATGGTAGGGAACATCCCAAAGTGGTTCACATTGGATAACTGTTCATATCTTTTTAAACAAAGTACCAGTAAGAGAATGGGTATGGTGTACTTACTCCATCTCCACTAAAGATAAAATTAGAAGAAAATTCCACAGCCTCCGAAGGGTTTGGTTTAAACACACACAAAAAAATCTGTACTATCAGAACTGTTAAGCATTAAAATGAATTTGTGAAGACATTAGGGAATTGCCATCTCCGGAAGCCTGGAGTGCTTTTAAAATAGCCTAAATATTAATCTCCCCAGGTTCATTTAATTGTTATCCTACTTTTAAAAGAATGACAGGACCAGGCCCATCGAGTCCCTCGCTACTCAAAGTATAATCTGCATAACCTGGGACCTGTTAAGAATTGCCAGATCTTAGGCACCAGCCCAGAGCTACTGAATCAGAAGCTGCATTTTAACATGGTCCCCAGGTTATTCACAAACACAGTAGAGAAACAGATCTAGAGTAATGCCACTTTGTTGTGCCATTTGTCTATATAGTGACCTCCACCCCTTCCCCCAAAATAATTTCACAATTCCAATTCAGATTTTGAATCCTTATAAGGTATAATGGAGGCATGGTAGTGTAGGAAACAATACTTTATAATCTTAATTATAAATTAAGAAATATGATTACATAGAAAACAAGCTTAAAAGCAGCCAAATATAAAGGGGAAAATATGTAAATGAGAAGTGGGTGGAGAACAAAGGAGCTTGGATTATGTATGTGGCAGAAGCAACAAACTGTCCCACCAAACTATAATTCATGCCATGGACTATAGTTGACTAGACTGCATCATATTCCATTAGACCAACCATGATTGTAATGACCAACCAGGGATCCTTTGAGGACTGAATGATTGGACCATAGATCTCCTTGGGTTTTGAATGACTAGTGGGTCCAATCTGGAATCAGCAGGTGTTATGACAGGAGCCACTATTGCATAAGAGTTAAACATTCAGACTCTGGAGTCAATCTGCCTGACTTCCAAGCCTGTTTCTTTCACAACTTTATCTTGAGTAGTTGAATATCTTCATGAGAATCTATTTCCTCATTCATAAAATCAGATTAATAATACTTAACCCCTTAGGATTTTTGTGACATTGCACAATGCCTGGCACATTGTGCTCAAACATGTTAGCTATTAAAATATTTGTAAAATCATTAGTAATATATTTCTTATACATATTTCTAAAGGATGTAACGGGTCTTTTAAATTTAGTTCTTCCTCATTGTTTCATTGTAATAGAATTTAAACTAAAACATTATATATCATTTTATAGCTCCATTTGGAGTGGTCCTGAGTTACAATCTCTTACAGTATAGAGAGGCTACGTAATCTGATTTGCCTTAAACATGACCAGTTCATGGAAATCTGATCAGTATGGGTATATGTTTCAGGGAAAAATCTTGAGACAAGATCTGCACTGATGCCAAGAGGACTATATGTTAGTTATATCGGATTATTTGTAAATTGTAATATCTAAACATAAATCTATGCTCACACGGTAATCTTCAGCATTTAGCCACCCATATGCAATGTGGAGCAAGAAAGGCTTAGCACTGAGAGTAAAAAAATCACACAAGCCATCATTATAGGCCCAAAGCTTATGCTGGGGTCAATAACAGGCCTAAAAATTGGGTAGGTTTTCTTCACAGTAGCTCAGAGGGCTATTCCTGCAGAGAGAGTATCTTGTTTACTATTTAACAACATAGGCCGCAAAGACAGACTGTTTGGGTTTGGATCCTTGCTCTGCCACTTGCTAGCTATGTGACCTCACACAAGTTACTTGACCTATCTGTACCTCAGTTCCCTCATCTGTAAAATGAGGATAACTCTAGTATCTACCTCATAGGATTTCTGTGAAGGTTAAATAATATGCTTAGCCTAATGTTTGGCATATAATAAGCACTCAATAAAAGTTAACTGTCATTATTATTACTATTAGTAGTGCTATATGCTCTAAGATAAAGGGAATACTAATATCTTTTCTTCAAATGGCTGCTGAGCTACCACTTAAATTGAAAGTATTTGAGTGCAGTGCAGCCACCATCAGCTCTGAGTGTTCCTCACATCCACCTCCAACCAGACATTTGAAACCTCACAAGTGATTCTAATTTTTACTTCTAGCCCTCTTTGCCAACATCTTATTTTCTTAAGCACTATGAAGAAATAGACTCTCAGGATCCCCTTCAACTTCGTAATTCTTTTAGCTATGCTCTAGAGAAAGTTACTTGACTTTGGAAACCAGATCTTAGGAATATTGATTTTTCATTTAGTAGTGCCTTTTTTGTCTTAAAAGTACATGGAGCAATAGTTTTGAACTGAGACATACTTTTCAAAGCTATCTGTAAAATTACTTGAGTTTCATGTCAACTAATTTTTCTCTTCTTTTTATTATTTTAGGAAGGCAGTTTAACCATTGAGATTAGAACACAGGTTCAGGATCCAGGCTGCCTTGGTTCAAATAAATCCCTGCTCTACCATTAAGTAGCTATGTAAACATTGGCAAGTTACTCAACCTCTCTAGGTCTCAGTTTCTTCATCTGTAAAACACAAATAATAATAGCATCTATGACATAGGGTTGTTGTGAAAATTAATTAGTTAATACATTAAAGTCTTAGAACGGTGCCTGGTTCACAGTAGTCTCTCAATGAACTTAGCTCTTATTATTGTTTCAAGTTCATGTCTGATATATGGCTCACAAAAAGTTGAATTATGGCTCATTTGTATTCTTAGGAACAGTGAAAGGTAATGAATGCAGAAGCAAAATTTTCCCTGGGAGAAGTGCTGGACAATGGCGGGTGAAGAGAACAGTGCCTGGTAGTGCTGATGACTGCTCCTTGTAATTTCATGGGGCATCCACAGAAATGGAAGGTTGGCACCACAATCCAATGCTGCCTACCCTTCTTCTTGCCTAGATTTTGGGAACGCAGTGCCTGTTATTTTTATTATGTAACATTTTAACTGAGTGGGCTAAAACATCCCCCAGTCCTCTCTCCTCCCCTCCTCAAGATTCCTTAAAATGGAAGCGGCAGCCAATGAGCCACACGGAACTGTTCCCTGAGGTCAGTCACTAATAGTTCAGTAACTCAGCTACTTTTCTGCCCCTTAGGAGGTTTCCTACTGAGCCAGCAAACTTTTTTGGTCCGGTTTCATCTTCCCTGTGACAATAGAAAAGGCTTTTGGCATTGATGAAAAACAAATGATACATAATCTGCCTTGATTTCCCCTAGAGAACTCAAATCCATACTGTCATGGAAGCTGAGTCTCTTGGACACATACTTGTCATCAGGGCAATGTCTGGCTTATTATATTTATTGAGTGGGGAGCAGAGACAGGCTATCTCTGGGGTTTGGTTTGGAGCTCCCTTTCATCTAACATGGTGTTTTGTATAGCTTCTATTCAATAAAGTTAATCCACAATGATGGCAGATTAGGAGGCCTCCTCTGGCTGGCAGCTGTCTTTCCTGTGAGAGTATTTGCTTTTCCAAGCTGGCCAAATAAGACTCATGTTAGTTTTCAAAGAGAGGGACCAAATAGAGTCAGACCTTCTGTTTAAGGAGCACTGTTCTGCCCATCATACCAGATGAATCCAAGGGTGGGCCGATAAAGGAGTACTTATTGAATATTTCCTTAATTTTACTTTATTGTCCCCTCAATTAAAATAGCCTTAGCTTCCAAATGTGGAGCCCGTGAAGTCCCAAAGAAGAGTCTCTCATTATGGTGTCTCCACTTTTTTGACTATATTACCTCCATAATAGGAGATGTTGGAAAATAGTGACTTATGGACCTTATTCCCAGAGCAAGACACTTTTTAAGTGTCATTTTTAAGAAGGAAGTTCTAACTGGACCCAGAGGGCCAATTCTGATGGGAACAGAAAAAATGAGGATGTGTGACACATGACAGGCCACTGCTCTACAAGCTCCTCAAGGAGAGACAGACTTGTGTTTCTATTATTTTTAATATCTCCCACAAATAGAATATGGCTTCAGTGGCAGGTAAGGTTGAAATCCTGGGAAAGGAGAGCACTGTTCATCAGCATGGTGGACACTTCACTGAAAGCCAATGATATGTAAAACACTATACCAAATAGAATTAGTGCCTCCATAAAATGACCTTAAAGCCTACCCAGTTATGGTACTCTCAAAACTCCCCATGCAAACTGTTACAAAGAGTGGCCAAATGAGATCATTTGTTCATTCATTCATACAAGACATATGAGGCCTGTTGTATGCAGGGTACGATGAGAAGCCCTGGGGATAAAGCAATGAACAAAAAAGACAAGATTCCTGCCCTCTTACTGACTTCAGTACTTTGAGAACCTCCATATTTTCTCCCTAATACATCTCATGTATGAGGTGCCTCTTGAATGATAACAGCTCAGAGGCTTCCTATCCATTTTGTTCATTTGTGCTTTTATCCATCCATCCATTCATTAAAAACATACTAAAGTAGGGTTGGGGTAAGGGAACATCCAAAATGGATATGGCTCAATCCATGCCTTCAAGTTCAGAGTCCAGTAGCAGAGGCAAAGTCAATATCACTACACTACAATGTAGCAAATGTCTTAGTAGAAACATACAG